AGGGATGGAGGGAGGAGGGAGCATTGGTCTGCATCGACTAGATTGGGCTATTTTTGTTCGATCGACCAATCCTCCTTATTTTGGAATATAATTTTTATATTTTATATTTTTCAGTTTTAGAATATTTTCTTTTTTTTTAATTTTAAAAATTATTTTCTAAATTTTTTAATTTAAAAAATAAATTTTTTTAATAAAAATAATAGTGAAAGGATATGGCATTTTAGACGCATGATGCATTCTTGGTTATTTTTGGTTTTGTCATTAGGTTGATTATTTAATGAAAGTAAAGTTTGAGAAAATTTTTAAATTTTATGTGCCAAATCAATTGTTTCACTTTGTTCGGGTAACAAATATGTAGTTAACTATTTCTTTTTAAAATATTTATACTCTTACTTTTTCTTTTATATAATATATTTATTTTCATATATGTTGTTTTTATTTTCTTCTTTTTGACGTTAGAAATCAGAGAGCATATATTTTATAAAAAATTAATTTTATTTTAATAATAAACTAAAATAAAAAGATTTTCGCAGAAAATCTCAATAAAGCTACGAAGGGAGAAGGATTAGAGGAACATGCAATCAACTGGCCGATGATAATAGTGTTGCACTGCACCCGTCATAAGCTGAACTAACTCGTATTAATTAATCTCAAATCGTTAATAGAAAATTATTTCTAATTTATAAGCAAACATAAAATAAAAAAAAGTTCTTAATTCACGTATACTATAGTTTTGTTTTATATAATATCTCTCTTGCATTAGTGCTATTTTAGATTTCTTCATCGATTTGGACTTGGATAGATTAATATATGTAGGTTTTTGGTACAAATTAGGGTAACGATATGAACACCAACATGAAGTTCTTATATTGCAGCTAGCAAAGGGACTTAGAACCAACTTTTTATTGCAGCAAGTAGAAAATTTACTAGTACATTAAACCTATCACACTGGCCGTTTCCTTACACGGTCAACTTCAAGGGAGGCATTTTATTCCTACCACCTTCTTCTTATATGTGTAGCACACACTTGCACAACTTTGGAGCTACACGAGGTTTCCAACACTAAGCCAGGCTGGTTTTCTTATGGAGTGGCTTCAGCACCACCATATCCACCACCACTGCCACCTGACCTTGTCCCCCCACACCACCATAACCTCCTCCATGTCCCGCACCACCACCCCACCGCCGCCACCATAACCTCCATGTCCGCCAACCACCGCTCCGCCGCCCCATAACCTCCACGTCCTCCTCCCTGTCCGCACCGCCGCCCCATAACCTCCGGTCCTCCTCCCTGTCCTCCACCACGCCACATAACCTCCCTGTCCGCACTGCCACCACCATAACCTCCATGTCCGCCCCCACCACCAATGTCCTCCGCCATATCCACCACCCGTCCTCCACCATATCCGCCACCACCATAACCACTTCCTTGGTAATTCATCAAGTTGTTTTGCTGGTTTAACTCTTCTGCCGTGATACCTGCAAGGACAAAACACGTATCTTATTGGGCTGTTCTAAGACCTTTTACAAATTATGTCATGCATAAAACAAAGCTGATCTCGAGCAGGGCCTTACCAGCAAAGGTGCAACATCTGCAACCATAGGGGCCACAACAACGATATCTGCACCGATAGTACTTGCCGTCGTCAGCTTGGTTCACTTCCTGTGCCACTTCTGCTGCTTGTATATGTATGATCGATGTTACAAATATATGTCAATGAAATTAAAAAGAAAAGAACAAAATAAAAAAAATAAATTTCTTTTATATATTTTATGTTAATATTAGCATGATTAGAAATTTTTTTTGTTTGAATACTTTTGAGTAACTTAGTGAGCTCTCTCATGTTCTTTTGTCTCACAAGTCATTAGAACCGAACCATATATTTTCAGTACCAACAAGGAAAATGTTAAATGCCCCAATAACAATAAAAGGTAGTAAAACAAATCCGGTGGCTTCTCTTGACTAAGCATTACTAACGTCACGAAAATGTCTAACCAACTACAAAAAACAAAAAAACGTGAGAAAATGAGACACATATAATAGGAGGCTACTAACATTTCTCATCCTTGGCTTGAGCTCCCATGAGCTGTGCCTCGGCGTAGCTGCAACACCTGCAGCCATAGTGGCCGCAACAGCGATGTCTGCAGAAATACATGGCTTCATCGCCTTCACCCCTTTCCTCCGTTGCATCCGCTGCATAATTTATAAAGACTTTCAATATATTATTATATATATGAATGTTTTATACTTGTATTGAAAAAAAAAAACAAAACAAAACTGGCGGGGGAGGAATAACAAACAAAAAAAAAAGCATATAGTGTAGATATTAACGTTTAGTTTCATCTTCGGATTTTTCAGCTACTGCCGCTGAAGAGAGGAGAAAAATTGTAAACAGAAGAGCTAGGAAAATAAACTGCTTGAACTTCATTTTCCTCACGAAACACACACAATTTCCAAGTCCTAAGGTAGAATTTTTGAGAAGGATATGATGAGGATACCAAGCTTCCCTTAAAGGCTATTTATAGTGGCAAGGGGAGGATTAATAAACAAAAGATCATTGCCTCAGCCCACTGAAGCTGCCCGCAATGTATGACTTAAATCTCAATTGATTTGGCTCTATGTATTCGTTTCAATATGATCTTATCACATATATAAGTTGGATGAAGACATCTGGACTGTCTGAGCTCAGGCAGCATTAAGTTACATGGCAACTGCCACGTGAACTTGAAGAACTTCAATAATGCTTCCAACTTGCTTTGCATTAGAACTCAATTTTTTTTTTTATTTCAAAGTCAAAATCGGCTTTCCGTTTCTGATCTCATCTCATGTGCATGTAATCGAAGATATCAGATCGTTTTATTTCATGTTGAACGCCTCTACTCCATCCTTACTCCTTTGGGATAAAACAAGGCAAGTACCCACGAAGAATAAAGGGAATTAATTATCCAAAAAAAATTATTATCTTATATAAAGTTTTAATGGTTTTATTGAGTGTAACTAGATGTATCCATGAACTGGACGTATCGGATCTCTCTTTATTAGTTTTTTAGTTAATAATAAATTATTATTTATTGTTATTTTAAAGTGAAATTATGCAATTAGTTCGTATTTTCTATCAAGGTAGATTTAGTTTTTATATAATAATTTATAAAAATTGAGTTTTAATTTTTTAAAATTGACAATGTTAGTCGAATGTATTAAAAATTTTCTGTTATCTATTCTGATATGACGTTTGATTGTATTGATATGATATTTTTTTACTAATGTGACAATGAATTTAATAACATTACAATAATGAAGTGACTTGTTATGATTGATGCAATGTTAATAATGTTGATATGACGTGTCCAAGCTTTGATGTGGAATTCATAAGTATGGACTTGAAGTTATTTAATATGAGCTAATGGTCTTAAAAGGGGGTTGGAAAAAAAACATATTAAAAATACGAATAAATTTATAAGATTTAAGAAAAAAAATATTGTGAGACAGAGAATAATAGAATTGTTGTACTCTAATTTAAAACACTGAAAAGAATGTTGTGAAACAGATCAAAAATGTCAAATCAACGTTAACACATCATCATATTCAATTGCACATAAAATGTCATATCAATATAAATATGAGTAAAATTTTAATACTGTTAATGATTAAACTGACAATGTTAATTTTAAAAAATATAAAGATTTATTTTTTACAAATTACTGTACAAAGACTAAATCCATCACATAGATAAAGTATAAAGATTAAGTTCACAATTTAACTTTTGTTTAAATAAGATTAAATAAATACATTTTATTTATTAATAAAAAGTTTAGTTGGGTTGGGCTGGTTTCCAATCTAAAAAGTAAAAGTAATATCCAAACCCGATCAAATCAAGTTTGCTCGCGAGCCTGTACTGAGTATAACTTGACCTTTGAAATCTTTTATTTATAGTTTAATATATATTAATTTTATAAAAAAATGCATAATAATTATTTAAATTGGTTTATAAAATTTAAAAAACTCTATGGCTAAAACATAAGATAAATTCGGTACAAAACCCTAGAGCTAAAAATAATGCCCAAGGGACCAAATGTCGTAAACTTGTACTTTCGCCAATTGGCCGGACTTAGTAAGATTTTATTTAATTGATATTTTTATTTTTTTTTGATACAAAATGTATAGGAAGGAAAATATAAAAAAACTGAATAGGAAACAAAAGACAAATTGTAAAACTATGGACAAAATAGAGTCTAAGTTAAATTATGTTGGTGGTGAATTTTTTAAGAGTCAAATTTAAAATCTAAAAAAATTTCAAACATTTCCATCATAAGAAAAAAAAAAGGTAAGTTCAAGGAACCCTATTGGTATGAGTAGCCAAAATAAACTTTTGAGGAATAATTTATATAAGGTTTCTTAGAATAATTTTGTGAGGGTTTTTATTGAAAATGATAAAATGAAAATTAATTTCGAAAATCATAACTTATAAGTTGATAAAGTTCAATAAAAATTAAGAATAATATGTAAAAAAACTTATCAGACGTATGGCTGGTATTCGAGTAGATAAAGATGAAAAAAAGAGTATGGCATGTATTCAAAATTCGATCAATATTTATTGAATAATGAAAATTCTGTCATATTTTTTTAATAAACATACCAATAAGGAAAATTTGAAAACTTTACTAAAAGTTTTCAAATTTTTTTACATTTAATTCGTATAATAAGACCTTTTAATTTCTCAATTTGAATTTAAATTTTTACTTAATCTCTTTTAATAAAAAATAGACATAATGTTTGAAACAACTTCTAAACTATTTAAAAAACTTCAAATAAATCTTTATTCTTTTATTACTCTTAATCAAGTCTTTATAGTTTTATTTTGAGTGAAATAGATAAGATTGTTAAACAAAAAAATAATTTTTATAATTAATGATTAATTAATTATCATTAATTAAAATATCAATTTTTATTTTATATCTACATCATAACACTAACATGAAGGGTAGAACTATACCTCATAACGATGCCATCATGCTATGTCATTGTCATCATAACACGTCATTATACCATATCACTAAGTGATATAAAGTAACAAGTGACATATTAATTAAAAATAATTAATTAATTATTAGTCATAAGGCTTATATGATTTAAAATAAAAATAAAAATATTTAATTAAATATAATAAAAATTAAGTATTTATTTAAATTTTTTTAAATAGTTCAAATTTTTTTTTAATATTATGATTAAAAATATCATAAATTTAATTTTTCAAAAATTTACCTAAATCTTGTCCCTAAAATGGTTATTATTAGCAATCTCTAAAGCACCCCAAAGGCACAACCCTTTTTGCCTCTCTAACGGTCTCATTGGTCCTTTTATGTGTATATTGATTGTTCTTCCTGAAACCAAAGAAAGAAAAGAATTGCCTAGTATAGTACAACAGATATTAATTTATGGTTTTTTTTCTCAATCAGGAAATTTTATTAATAAAGTTAAGCGAAATAGCTTACATACCTTTAATTAGATGTGCTCATTGCACACTGAATCCCGTCAACACCCTTATCACCAAATGCAGTTAACAAAGAAAAGTAGAGAAGTAACAACTTGAAACGTGTACCTCTAAACCACTCCCTTCCTGCCAGGGCCGGTCCTTGGTAAGCCCACCCGAGAATGGACTTATAGACCCCAAATTTAAAGAGTCTTCATAATTTTATAATAATTATAATATAATTAATTATATTAAAAATATATAAAAATTAAGATAATTAATAAAATATTTATTTATTTTTTTATATCTAATAAATATTTATTTCTCTCACCTCCACATCTTTATTAATTTTCAACTATTTATCTTATTTTTTATTAAAAATATGTAAAAGTTAAAGATAATTAATAAAATAACACATTCTCTTATTTCTCTAATTATGTGTCTAATAAATTTCAATTTTTATCACTTCCCAATTCTTACACTACTATTAATTTTGAACTATTTTTCTTATTTCCAACCAATATAGATTTGCATTTGCTACGAGTTCTTCTAAAAAAATTACTTCTAAAATGAACATAGAACCTAATTTTTGTGATATACGTATTATTCGTATAAAAAAATGATGAGAATGTTGATAATGAAATAATAAGATCTCGTGCAAAGTAAATTAGAATTAATATATTAGATCAAGCAATTTTTCACTTCAAAGTAGATTTGAACAATTTAAGATATATGAAAGTATTTTTGGCTTTTTGTTTACTGGTAAAATGTTAAAGTCATTAGACTATAATAGTTTGAAAGAATATTGTCTTCATCCTGAATACTCTTTAAAATATACAACTATTTTGATATTAATGGTTTAGATTTATTTTCAGAGTTAAAAATTTTAAAAGAAATTATAGAAATGGAAGATAACAGGCCAATCGACATATTTAATCATATAAAAAATTTTGATTTTTCTCCAAATGCATATCTTGCTTTTAGAATAATGTTAACAATTGTCGTAAGTGTTGCGGGAAGAGAAAGAAATTTTTCAAAACTAAAATTAATAAAATTTTATTTAAGATCAACAATGTTTCAAGAAAAATGAAATGGATTAATTATATTATCAATTAAAAGAAAATATTAGAAGAATTTTATTATGAAAGTTTAATTAGTAATTTTGTATCTAAAAAATTAGAAAAATAAAATTTTAATAAAATTTTTTCTTAATTTTAATAAAAAAAATCTCATTTAAATATTTTACTTTCAACTTTTGAATTTACTAAGCGGTCGCTCTTCCTACATACAATCTGAAGAATAAACACAGTAACCCCACTCCTTATATAGTGAGCTGGATTGGAGAGAAATTACCCTTACGTGTGAAAGAACTTATCCTTCTCCCACCTCCAATCTTGCCAATAAGTCAGCAAAAGAAGTTGCTTCTCTCAAAGTGTGAACATATTCCACCTCACCTATTACAGTCTAAAGCCAATCAATTCTTGCAAACAATTTCCAATGCTCCCAAGGTCAGGAGTCAACTAGTGTCACCCAAGAAATAATCGCAACACATGAGTCATACTCAATAGGAAGTGATTTCATACCTACCCAAGGACAGTTGTGAAAAATAAGGCATTTAGCATGGCTATCAACTTAGCTCTATTTGAATCAAGAACTCCAAAAGACCATAAATAATCCCAACACTTCTCCTTTATTGTCTCTAAGGAGCCATCCACAACCCGACGGGCCTGATTTACGGCTTATTGACCCGTCAACCTTGAACTTTAACATGTTCTCCTTTGGTGGGATCCAATGCACTCCTTTCCTAGGGTTTACCCTCTGCTTTTTTGCAAAGTTGGGTTCTCTTGAACATTTCAATTAAAAAAATTAGGATCAACCATGCACTTGTTCTTGGCATGTTTAGACTTCATATAAGTATATATATATATATATATATATATATATAGGAATCTCTAAATTAATTTTATGGTTACCATTAATACATGAGTTCAACTAAAATAACACAGAAAATTAGAAAGAAAGAAAGCATTTTTGGAACTCAAGATTTTATTCATTTATAATTCATACTTCTAAGGAAGCATATTTTCTTAGGACATTGCGACGTACTATTTCTAGTGCTACAAATTTAGTACATCACATCACACATATGCATGTAAAAATGCTAGTATTTTAGTTGTGAGGATCGGCTTGAGTTTCAGCATCCATCGCCTCACCCAGATAGGAGCAGCACCTTTGGCAACCTCTTCCATAATGATCAGATCGACAGCAACCGAAGGAGCAGCGTCCCCCAGACCCTCTACGTCCACCATATCCACCGTGGCCACCTCGCCCTCCATGTCCTCCGTGGCCACCTCGCCCTCCATGTCCTCCGTTGCTGCCACGACCTTCATATCCGCCATGCTTGGCATCATCTAGCCCAGCTGTTTTTGTAGCCACCTCACCTGCAAATTTATGATGATCATGTTTATTTAGATGATCCCAATGGTTATGCATACTACTAATTAATTATTGTGCAATATTAATGTCAGGAATGCAGTGCTTTAAAAATTGGCAAGCAAGTTACACTTTTCATGAAGGTTTACATGTGATGGTCTCACAAGTAAACACGAAGATTCGTTAAGATTCACACGTCCAGTAGTTTCTTAATATTGAGAAGAAGATGAGATATGAAAGGAAAATTAAAAAAACTGAAGGATTTAGTAATCCTTTAGTTTAACATTTCAGATTGAACGATGGATGTTAGATTTTGGTGTGATAGATGCACTCAAGTTTTCACTTCTCTCCAAAACTTGCTCCGTACACATAGGAGATTTTGGAACCAAGGGCCGGGAAATGTGGATTTAAAGTCTTCTATGTAATTTGTAGAAGAACAAATTATTGAAGTGAACAATCAGACAAAGACACAGAGATATAGATGTATATATTTGGTGAACAATAATAAGGGGAGATAAAGGACCCAGCTAACCATTCTTCTTTTCAGCGGAAGTTTCAGCAAGGTCTTTAGCTGCCACTTCTGAAGAGACCAGAAGAACAACAGCCGCTACAAGAGCAAGGAGAAGGAAAGCCTTAGCACTCATAATTTTCATAAAAAGAAATTAAGCAAACCCTAGTATTGGATGAGAATGGTGAAACTAAAGCACTCTTTATCTCTATATATAGGCCTGGAAAGTGAGAAAAAAGTTTCAGAGCTGTGTAGTTGGCTGTTAAAAGAGTTGTCAAGCTATTCAATCTTCTTAACTGAGTTGCCAGTATCATAGCATTTTGGGCCTACCCCATTGCCTCTATTAAATTTGATTTCAGAGGTCAGACTTTTGCCATACTTGCCAGTTGTTATATTATGGCACAATCAAAGTCAACTTAGCATGGCTTAAGCACCATATTAATTGCAAAGACTCAGCTCCGCAAGAATACTCGTCTATGAATCTCTAGCATTGCATGAATTTTAGGGCATGAAGATGCAAACGTACTAAAGAGGGCAGTTGAAGCATTAAATGTTGCAGTTGTCAGTGTTTTGTTCTTATCCCAATCCATGGCTTGCCTTAGGCCGGTGGATCTCTCAAGTGAATTTTAAAGGCCTAGTTGCCAGAGACGAAGCCCAGATAAATATCGTTGAACGAAGCGAGTGGCTACTGCAACCCAAATGAATGGGAGATATTTTTCAAGCTACAGCCTGTTGAGTTTCTGGAAAAATGTAATGGGAAAATGATAAGTAAAACACAATTGATTGAGACACTTTTCTTTATGTCGTGTCTAAATGTCCAAAAACAGAATAGGGTACTAATTTGTAATCACTAGCCTATTACTGCAGGCCTTGCATCAGAGGGTAGCTTGAAAAGATTTAATGAACTCAATTTCTTCGTTTCGCTTCTCAAACTTTTTTGTAGATTCAAATCTTGCTTAGTTAAGGCCATTCCGAGCTTTGTTCGTTTTCTATAGATGCTAATTATATTGTAATTTGCAATAATTAAAAACTCCTCATCCAGAAAAATTCAATGCTAATTATCTTCCGAAAACGGTCAGCTTGTTGGACATGACTAAAGAGGTATTTTAGGATCAAGTTTTTTTTTAGTACATAAAGCTTGATAGAATATAAAATGTTTGTAACTGTTAATTATGAAGTAAAACTTAATTTAAGTCAAATATAGAGTTTTGTTTAATTTAGTCCATGTACTATAGAGTTTTATTCAATTTAATTCTTGTATTTTGTAACTTTGTGTAATTTGATCTCTAACACAAAAAAACTGATGTGAAAAATTTTATTTGTCTGATATGTCAAAAGTTAATATTGTTTTACATGTCAATGTCATATCGACATGACTAATGATCAATTTGGATAAAGTTAGGTCCAAAGAGTTAATTGCATAAAATATCAAAATATAGGGACTACCTTTGGGGTACTTTGACCAATTGTAATTCCCCATTTGATAGTAAAATTGTTATTTATCCCTACATTTTCAATCTTGATTTTTGATCCGAAATTTGTGTACACCAAATGGACAATTTCTACCTCTAATATCTTTTTTTTTTTCTCAAAACTCAAATTTCCAAATTTTCATGACTTCTAAGAAAAACTCTACCAAAAAAAAAAAACTAGCTCTCAAACCTGCTCAAGTGATCTTGCAGTCTACTCAAATTCATCATCAAGTGCACATGTTCTTGCTCATGCTTATGGCATTCGAAGACAAACAAAAGTTGTTGAATTGTATGATCAAACAATTCTAGTAGTCAACCTTAATCTTTTATATGATACTTCTTCCTTAAATTCAAAAGAAGTTTATGCTCTACAACTTGTCTTTTTTAACAGACCAAGTGCAAGTTGCCAATTTTCATTTAAAGAGCACGATAGCTATTTCAACTGCAACTTTGTTCCATCATCGAGTTGCTAGAGTTCCTCTTTAAGAGCAAATTCTAAAGTGATGGTTGTGATGAAAACTTACACAACACCTTTGGAAGAACAAGTTGTGCTTCTTGCAAAAATTGTGGAATCTCTTACAACAAGTATAAAAGAAAAGGATGATCAAATTGCCTCAACGATGGCAAAAATTAACGATCTTATCAAAAGACATCAGTTACACTTAGTTAAAATCAACACTTGATCTTTTAATAAGTTGATGAGAATTCCACTAGAAAAGTTGTAAAAGGTCACTAATAGAAAGACGAAGAAATGGTCATTGCCAATCAACTTAAGGAATTCATCAAAGAAGCCATCAAGTAATAAGTTGGAAATGTCGCCTAGCCTTCTTACATTTATGTGAAACCATGTGCTTAAAAGATTGATAATATGAGGATGACAAAGAATTATCAATCACCAATGTTCCAACAATTTAATGGTAAAAGAAATCCTTGCCAACATGTTGCACACGTTAAGGTAACTTGCAACAATGCTAGAACCTATTGAGATCTTATGCTGAAGCACTTCGATCGCTTTCTGAAAGGTAACACCTTTGATTAATACACTGATCTTGAGCCTAAGATAATTGATAGTTGGGACCAATCAATTGTAAATTCCTTAATTGCTTCTACAATACTTGTCGTGTATTGGCATGATTGAACTCACAACTTCACGTTAGTGGAAAATGAGCTTGTGGTTGAGTACAGCCACAAATGAAGAAATTTGAATCTTAACTGTAAAGAGAAATTGTTTTAATCGTTTTCCTTTTATATGTGCATACAAAGGATGAATTGGGGATTACTACATTCTTCAAGGCATTAAGCTTAAAACTTGTGAAGAATTAACTACTCATGCACATGACATGGAGTTAGGCATGCCATCAACTAGAAGTCAAAGATGCAAGAACCAAAAAAAGGCAAGGAAAAGCAAGACATTCACAAATAGGGCAAAACTTTAACTAATAAGGGTGAAAGTAAACATTTTATGACTATGAACACCAAGCCCTTCAAAACGTCCACCAGTTCAAAGAAATCCTAAAAAGCAAAACCTATTCTATCATAAGATAAAAGGTAAAAAAAAGATCTTTTTGTAGGAAAGGCAAAAGAAGTAGTATCTTTCCCTTGACTCAAATGTTGCAAACACGCTATAAGAATTCTTGAAGACTAAGCTCATTTAATTTTCAAAGATAAAGTGATTGAAAGAAGTTGATCAAGTAAATGACCTCAATTATTGCAAGTATTATCACTTGATTAGCCACCTTTGAGAAAAATGTTTCGTTTTCAAAGACAAAACCATGGGGCTTCATAAGGATGAGGAAATTGTGTCTATGGAAGAAATTGTGTAATCAAATTTGGCATCGGTAGCAAGCATGGTTTCTCAACCTAATGTGTTGAGCAAAACCATAAACTTTTTAATCTTTTAACCCCATCATGATAATTACAAAGTGAAAGAAGTAATTAATTTCGAGATAATGAGGGCAATACTTTTGGCCAAACAATTGAAGATGAAGGCAATGGAGGATGGATCTTAATTACATATCTAAAAGGATGAAAAAATAATATTCTTAACTCTAAGCAAGTTCCAAGAAGATTCAAAATGGTGACACAATTACCTAAAAAGCTAATGCTAAAGCCAATCTATTTAGGCATGAAAATTAAGTCGCATAGAAGTCCAAATAACAAATCATCTTGAATGAATTTATGCTAATGCAATTTAGAAATAAAACTTCAATTCCCACATCTTGTTACAAAGTTGATGAAGATGTTAAGAATGAAGAGAAAGTAAAGATCAAATATAATCTCTCTTGTGCTTCAAAACTTAATTTTTCTAATGAAAATTTATTGGTATGGTCTATTCGTCACAATCAACCTCTTTTTGTTGTGAGTTATATTTGTGAATAGAAGATTACATTGAATCGTAGTAAATGATGGATTTGCTGTCAATATACTCTTATTGAAGATAGTGAAAGAGCTTGAAGTGCCTCTAAATGAATTTTCAAAGGAAAAGAGCTCTTGAAACAGTTAAACTTCAACTTTTTATTTATGACGCAAAATTAAATCCATTGTTTCATGTGATTGATGCAAAGACAACATACAACATGTTGTTATGACTACTATGGATACATTGAAAAGGTGTAGTCTCATCGACACTTCATTAATGCTTTATGTATTTTAAGAAAGGTCAAGTGAAGACAATCATTACAAACTTTAAGTCTTTTACCACAGTAGAGGCGCACTTCGTTAATTCTAAATTCCATTTAGAGAGTACTTTTGTAATAAAGGTACAATCCATAAATGATTAGCAAAATGATGGAGTATCATCGAAGTAAAAAGGAAAGAAATTTTGTTTTTCAACTAAGGGAGATGATGAAAGAAGTGAAGGCTTAAAGAATTTGACTTTGCCACTCACTAATTTCGAAGGGTCAAAGGTTGCTAAGCCTCTATTAAAGGAATTTGTAAGGTTATTAGAAGGACCATTATTTGAACATGATGATCTTCCTTTCCAATGAGTTAATGGTTTTGTTCCTTATACTTATAGACTTCTAGTAGGGGTTGGTTACAAAGAAGAGGATGTTTGCAAATTGGAACACTAATCAAGTACACTAATTAAAGAGATTGTACGAAATTCCACCAAGATTCATAAGGCTTGGTGAAAAAATTGATATTGTTAAACCTTCAAAGTCAGGGCTAGGATTTTCACCCTTGAAATTGCAAATTCACAAAGATGTTTCATGATATATAACAACGGAAGAAGTTGATGATGAGCAAGAGTATCTAGTTAAGTCATCAAGACTTTTAATTTTTGATTGCTTGAGTATGTTCACGTCTCAAACTTTAGTTTTGGGCCATTTAATTATACCTTTGAATGAGATCTAGTTTTTGATTATATTAAGGAAGAGCACATTGAAACCTTTTTGAATGAGCCTATGCATTTAAGGTTTAAAAGAAAACCCTTGTAAAGAAAGAAAAAAGGGAGCTTTATGGTAAATGAATCAAAGATTTCTATAAGATCATCCTTTCGCTTATGAAAAGACAAAGCAAATAGATTGTAATGAACAATTAAAGCATTAAAGGCTAAAAACCATACAATGGTTGTAACTAAATAAGCTTTATCTTTGGTTGAGGAAGGGCTTGAAAAAATGAAGATCGTCACATCTAATGACGTGTCAATAGAATACAATATTGAAAAATCCTAAGAGAAAGATGCTTGAAAAGCTCCCCATCATTTAAAGAAGAAAATTGAC